AATTCACATATGGGTAAATTTTTTTAACCCAAATATGGGCTCTTACGATCCATAAATGATTTATTTTTATGCAAATTTGACTTAAATTTACCCATAGTTGGGTAAAAAAATTTACCCATAATATCTGAGTTTGTGCAGTTTACGCATGATTTGGGTAAAGTAAACCTACATTTGGGTTATCTGATCTTAGCGTGTAGGGCTTTAGTCATTTCCTAAGAGAAGAGGTGACAATACGGGGGCGAAAATGAACCACTTTTCTGTCAAACGTGAACCAGCTCCTGATTGGCCGATTTCATGTGCGTAAGAAAGAGATAGATAGAGAAAGAAATATAACATGAAGAAGCCAATTGTCACCTCTTCCTCTTAGGTCATTTCTGATTCACTCACACCCTCCAAATGCTGCTCATTCAGAACTATGTGAAATATTTCAAGAGCAAATTTTCATTACGTCGAATGTAACAAAGGTAAACAAAGTCGAGCTATCAGTGTCAATCGATTCTCCTGCCATTACACTATATACTGTCCGAATATAGGATCAAATCCCATTTTTAAATTTATTTACCAGTCAAATTGCTTTTCGACGTAATCACCTTCCGATCAAAATAGTTTTCGATGTTACTTAAGTCACCCAATTTGTATGGAGATGCCGTTTGACTTAAGTAACAGCGTTGAGAAACCCGTGAAAAGTGTACGTTCGTCGTTTCGCTTTCTCATTATTAAAGTGAATAAATCGAACTGTTTGTTGCTAAGATGATTTCGGTGGTCCTAAAATGATAAATGGGCTGCACGTAAGGAGACGTAATTGATAATTCTCCCGAATAACCTGGTAAATACACTTTGACTTAAGTAACAATAGGGGCCACCAAACGACGTATAATAACTTTTGACTCAAAAACCAGTATTTTTTAGCATGAAAGCTAGCGATTTGCATTTGTATGATTAAAACCCTGCTAAATATGTTAAACATTGCTATCACTATAAGATAATATGTGTATACTGGGAAATAGGAATAATTTTTCGGTCATCAAAGCAAAACCTTATTTTTCTCGGATTGGTGCGAATGTTACTTACGACATAATGAAAATGTGCTCTTGATTTCATACCATCATAAACGCTTATGCATACTGATAGGGGAAATAACACGCTAACTTGAAAGTACCCATTAATGAGTAAAAAAGACCCATTTTTAAGAAAAGTGGCTTAACTCATTAAATGAGTAAAACCGAGTTTACTCATTAATGAGTTTTCGACGAATACTTTAAAAAATGGGTATTTTGTTTTTTTGCCCATGGGTAAAAAGTACTCTTTTTTAATGTTTGCTTCATGGAGCTGCCTGTTATTAAACTTTTAACATGTTAAACTAATGAAAAAGCTAAAATTGTCAAATTTTTTCATAATTTTTATTGAACCAGAATGGATCATTGAAGATGCTGAGGTTTTGACAGCACCGTACTGTGGCTACCACAGTATTTTACATTGGTTCGTACGTATACAGTAGCGCCAAATGAAAACTGTGGTGGGTTCAAAACTCAGCCATCTAAAATGATCCATTAATATTAAACGGATCAAAATATGTATTGATGAACATTTATCTATTTCTTATACATTCATTGACCAAACGAGGCATTAAGTAGTGCTTCCGTAAGATCGTTTTTCTCATCACTGCAGGAATCAATCCGATGATGGATGCTGCTTATCGAAAACGTTCAGATAATTGAGCATGTCGTTTTCCTTCTCGAAGATCTCCGCTAATCTGGAACAGGAACACTTGTTAGAATTTTAGCATGGTTTCATGTCTTTTCCTTACCTCGTAACAATCGGAACTGCCGTCCAAAGCACCATTTTACTGTGCTCGTTTTTAGCCTTAACGAACATCGGCCGAAAGGAATTCACTGGCTCAATCACATCTACGTTGTGTGATCTTATAATAACAGCACTAGTCCGAGCATTTTTACCGAGAATTTCGACCGATTTGCAAGAATGACAAGACATTTCACAATCTGAATACTCCGTGCTTTTAGTTTTCAGTTCATCAGACTGTTGACAATGATTATTATTATTACTCATTTTTTCTGCCTTAAAGCAAACCCCACACGCATCAATATATTGACGCGAAGGGGAATTATTGACAATAATATTGATGATGTGAATTCAGAAATATTGTCAATCTCGATATATTGACGTCAATATAGCATGTATTGACAATACGATTATTGTCAATAAAAGCAATCGTGTAGGGTTCACTTAAGATATTTTCAAAAATGAAGAAAAAATACCCTTTTTAATCTTTATGAAAATACCCATTTTTTGACATATAAGAACAAATATAAAAAATGAGTACAAGATACTCATTAAATGTGTACTTTCGAGTAAGCGTGAAGGCGATATCGTCTCCCGTAAAAAAAATCCAACTAGTTTTTGCACCGTTCGAGCACCGTCGGGTTTATGTAGTGCGTAACAATGTAGAAAACATCTTGCTAACAGAGATGTCAATTAAATCATTTCATTTTCCACACTCAAGGTCTTGCAACGTTGACAAAAATACCCAAGCTCAATTGCGTGCGCACCGCACGGCATCAGCGTTGCCAGGTCATTTTCTGAAAAATCTGGTACAGTCTAAATATAAAATCTGGATAAATCTGGAATGCTCCAAAAATCCTGCTACTGAAATCAAAGTGATGTGTCAATCTCCCGTAAAAATCGGTCAGTATGATCATCTGGAATTTATACAAAGTCTACCAGAATTTTTATGAAATCCATGTTTAAAAAAATATACGCTGAGAAAATTGTGCATATCCAGAACAACATGTGAAAAGGGCATACAAGCTTTTTGTAAACAAACCTTCATATACCCTTTTCTCGCCACCCATATGACGCCAACGCAAACTTTTAACATCACCGGGTAGGGGACACTTTCCCCTTCCCGATGATATTGCTGGTTTGCGTGGGCGACCCTCGGTTGGTGAGAAAAGGGCCTACAAAGGTTTGTTTACAAAAAGCTTGTATGCCCTTTTCACATGTTGTTCTGGATATAACGTTTATGTGCCACACACATAGATTTTTGCAATGTGATGCACAAATGAAATTTATGTGTGAGGTACATAAATTGCTTCCAATCGACATTCAATGAAGCACAAATGGGCATTATGGGTAGTGATGAATAGATTTCATCTGACTGTTGATACTTTTTATTGTTTATTATTTTGAAATTGTTGGATTTAATTTTTAACCAGAATGATATAATACTCTAAATTCAAAGCTTCTCCATATATTTCATGTTGATCGGAACACCCAATAAATTAATACATACACCGAATTGGAAACTTTATCGTTCTTCATGATTTGAGCTCTAGATGCTTTCGTGTTCGAGTATTGCCAATCGTTTCATTATGTGCCGAGTTCCAGTTGATAGCTTGTTCAGCATTTTCAGCAATCTTCCGTTTCAGCATCTGCCTTTTTTTTTTTTTTTTTACTGATCGCACAGTGCTTATGGTGTTGCGACCGAGGTTGCGACAAATCAAATATTCAGCTTGTCGATTCCCATTTCAAGTGCGCCGCTCGTTACCGATCCAATTCTGGTGGGTTTTTTCTGCAGTGCGTCGGATCCATGTTTTAACCGGGCAGCTCTTCCATCTCTTGCTGCAGCAGCCAGTTTAGATCGAGGAGCAGATTTCATCTGGTTCTTAAAATATTACAGTTAAATATACGTTTCAACATTTTTCCTCATATTTACCTTAAACTAAAATACTAAACATTCACAAACTAGTTCTTCATTTTGAAATTCCACTCTTTATCGAGTGTATATTAGTTTTATGTGTGCTCACACATAGTTTTTTTGCTATGTACCATTAAACATGCTGTTCATTTCAGAGATGAACTAGCCTAAGGCTAAAAATCTCTTAAATAAAGAATTAAAAAAAAATGCTGTTCATTTGGGGCACACATAGTTGGCATAAGTGAGACACATGACGTTCATGTGTCGGTTTTAAAATTTATGTGTGGGTCGTTTTATGCAATCAAAATATATGTGAAATCATATAAATAAAATCTTTGCTGTTTTATCAGTGTATAAAGCCAACTTGTTGGCATTGATAAAATCATCCAAAAGTTTAGAAAAGTATTGACATATTGTTCCCAAAAAGATTAAATATCCATTACGCAGCATTTCAATGATTTTTTAATTTATATTTTTGGTAAAATACTGCAGAAAATATTTTTAGGATTCTGAAGCAGCAAAGAATCAAGCAACTTTGATGGGATGATTTTTTTAAACTAATAGTTGATTTAGTCCTTAATATTTGATGAAGTACCAGAATATGTCTTAAAATTTTTATGTATTTTAACTAATTGTTATATTATTCTGCGATTGATCAGACTTCCAATTTCATTCTTGACATCATTCAACTCACAACACTCGGTAGACCAGGAAGCAATTTTATTTTAAACTAAAATTCTCCTGGCTGAAGTGAGAATCAAAGCCTAACATCGTGGTACTCACACACAGTATACCTAAACTTCGGGTAACTCCACATGATCATTACAAATAATTTTATGCTAAAGAATAATATTCTTATGTAACAAAAATCAAAGTCTGAAAGCGGATCTTGAAATGATTCTAAACTCTGGAATTTATATTTTTTCTAGGTCCCATCATGAAATTTTTTGTTAGTCTGAATGTATTTCATTTACAGAGTTCAATTTTAATCATCCTTGAATTTCATCATACTCCTATTCTGGATTCCCCTAAACTAATCTTGATAATATCCAAACTTTTTCAGTAACATTCTAAGAGTGCTTAGCATTATCTCTTGTAATCTCTTATAATTCGCTCTCTGATTCCACATTTCCCTCAAATTGGTAATAATTCCGAAGAATTGGCATAATTTTGTCTCATGCCTCATTCCTTAGAATATTCTTAATAATTTCCTTGGTACGCTCTTCAGAATTACAAGATTGATAAAACTTGATAAAACCTAATCTCTCATTGGACAGAATTCTCACGATTCATATCAGCATTCTCCTTAAGTTTTATCTTAAGAATTTTCTATGATTTCTCTTTCGAATTCTAACTATTTCCTTTCTTCACAAATCTCCATGCAATTGTCATCAGAGTTGGCAAAAGACAATTTATACCGTCTTTACTTCAATCAAAGGTTGCACAGACTGCATACTTACACTTCACTGTAAACTATTTTCAGAATTACCTTAAAATTCTGAAGTCTAGGGCAACTCAGAATTCTAAAGTTTTTCAGACTACTAAGGTAACTCGATATTCACAGGTACTTTAAAACTCTATTTAAAAATCTAATTAATTATCCTCAAAAATATCACGAACATACTTCAAAGTCCTGGTGGTTGTCTAGATTCAAAAGCCTTGCCAAAGCTCAATTTATTGTTTTCAATCCTGAACAGTTTTCGATTTCTCTAAATTCCAAAATTATGAAAATTCCTCCATATTGGAATATTGATTTTTAAAAATCCATGATTCCAAAAAAAAATTATAGTCAACATCTAAACAAAAACCATCCTGGCTCGATATTTTTAAAAATTTGAGGATTTTTTACCGCCAATAATCTTTAGAAAATGACTTAATTTTCATGATTCTGCAACCCATTGCAAACATGTTGTAACAATTCCATGTATGATGTTGCAATAATGTCCAACGTTGATGGCCTTTAGTAATTAAAGTAGTAAGTTTGGCTTTTTATTTTTTGATTAGAGGGTCCATTAATTGCAGTGATATTCTGGAAATAAACTTGTTCTGTTCGTGTATCTGGCAAGACGACTGAAAATCTGTAAAATCCAGATAAATCTGGAATACTGGAAACGCTGGGTGCAATTGACAACGATGCAAGTTCCCATCAGCGTTGCCAGATATATCGATTTATCGGTATTTATACCGATTTCCGAACTATATACCGATACACAGATAAGATTCCTCAGAATAGCGATTTTTTAAATTGTGTACCGATTTATACCGATGTTTTTCAAATGATCAAAATTATTATTGCCTAACCGTACTCGAATTTTGGAGAAAATTACTGTGAGAAACTTGTATCTTTTTGAATAACTCAAATTTTTCATAAAAAAAATCATATTTGAAAATGTCATATGATTGATACTCTTTTGACTAATGTTTCCATTTCTTCAACGTTTTTGGTTACCCAGGAATCGATAAACTGTCGATGGCTCTTTTCGGTTATTCGTAGAGAATCGCGAAATATTTTTTTAACATTTTTTAACTTCCTTAAGTTTTTACTCATTTTTATCTTCCTGAATTTTTTTCCAACTTTCGCCTGGAGTTTTCTTCCACCTTACACCATAACTTATTTCTCGATTCCTCCCGAAAACTTATTTCAACTTCCCTTGGAAGCTTCTTCAGCCATCGCCCGAATGGTTCTTCCGTCTTCTCCCGCCAGTTTTTTTTTTCAACTTCCCCTGAACTTCAGGGATGTTTCCTTATTTTTATTGTGGATTCACACTAGCTGCAAGAACTTTTAAGAAGTTCTGAAATTCAGACAAGTCTAGACTTTTGAGTAAGCTCCGATAAATTAAAGATAGTTTCATTAATTTCTGTTCAAATTCCAAAACCCGAAAATTTCAGGAAAGTCCAGCGAACTCCAGTGAACTTATGAAAACATCAGAAATATTTTGGAAACTTCACTAGTTCAAAGAACTTCAGGGAAATTTAATGGTTTTCAGGAAAGTTTCATTTGTTTCAGAGAATTGAGAGAACTTTAGGGAAGCTCCGTGACCATCAGGACAGATCAATTAATTTCAAGGAAATGCTGATATTTTAAAGGATTTCCGAGAAACTCAGGCAATGTTCCACAAATTTAGGAAACGTAAGGGAAGTTACATGACCATTAGAACATTGTGAGAACATTTTATGGGAAATTCCGTGCTTTATAATGGCAGTGCCAAGAACTAAAATTTTAAAAATTGGGAAGATCATAGATCTTCAATACTAATAATACAGCCGGCGCCGGTGGTGTAGTGGTAAGCGTGACTGCTTTCTAACACCCCAATGGGTCTGGGTTCAATCCCAGCTGAGGTCGGTGGGATTTTTCTGAGGCATAATAATCTCTGGTCACGTCTTCCTTCGGAATGGAAGTAAAGCCGTTGGTCCCGGCCCATGTGTGTTGAATGGGTGCGATATCCTACGCATATCCTGCACATTCGAATGCCGTCAATGGATGGCAATCGATGTCCGTCGGTGATTGGCACTAGATTGCGGAACAGAGACCGACGTTAAATGAAAAGGAAAAAAATACATACTAATAATACAATAAATTCAAGAAAATTGTGAGAGCACTTAAGAAATTTCGTTATCTTCAAGAAAGTCCAGATACCTTCAAAGAAGATTATATATATTCAGGTAGCCTCATCTAAAACAGCCCCATTAACTTCAAGAAAATTATAATAACTTTTAAGGAATTCCGTGGAATTATGGAATAGGAATCTATGTGCATTTCAGAAATGTTCCGAAAACTTCAGGGATGTTTTATGAATATCAGGAAAATTTGCTGGATCATTAGAACATCCTACAGAAATTTCTTTCTTCCGGAATTATGTCCTTGTTTCATTCGACTGTTCCATAGGCTCTGCCTTCCGAATTTCTCCAGTAGTTTCTTGCAATCTACCTTAGGAAGTTTCTGCCAGCGTCTTCAGAAAGTTTCTTCCGTCTTCTTCTGGAAGTGTGTCAATAAGCCATAGGTTTTCGATTTTTAGTGGAAGGTTTTTCCGAGCTTCTTCTGGTTTCCCCTAGAACTGGCTACTTCTGGAATTTACTTCTATTCCGAAACTTTTCTTACTTTGGATGTGACATCCGATTTTTTTTTTGTTCGATGGTTTCTTTGAATATTCACTAGTAGCTCCTCAATTCTTGTATTGGTAGTTTCTGGATGTTTCTCCAACTTTTCTTAGAATTTTCCCCAAATTTCTTCCACAAAAGCTTCTTTCTTCTTTATCTAGATGTTCCTTCAGAAGCTAATTCAAACATTCCCCGGAGTTTTCTTTCAGAATTTTCCGATCATAGTCCAAACGTTAAAATTTTCACTTTCAAAAACAGCTAAAATAGAAAATAAATTAATATAGTAAATACCGATAAATACCGATTTTTTTAAAACTTTGATATCGATAAACTTTAAAACAATCTGGCAAAGCTGGGCACATTTGCCTTTTCTCAAAATACACTATCCTCAGCTTTTACCCACGATCCGTGATCGCCTTCAATAACGTCGAAATGCATAAACGCGTTACCACACGGATATGAAAAACTACTCAAAATTAAGTACTTTTCCCTCAATTCCGGGGTTCAGCCCAATAACCCAAATTTGAGTAAATCGCATATAGTAGTTTCCATTTAACACCAGCAAAAAAAATACCTACTCTCAAGTATATGCTACCCAAAATTAAGTTTAATTCACGTAAATTTGAGAATATGCATTTAACTCAAAAGTTACTTATTGAACTGAACTATATCGTTGGGTCGAATCTCTTGTTCCTTTTTTGACAACAATAACGAGTGCAAGTGAGAGGCTGAAGTCAATATTAAGTAAAAAGAACTCAAATTTTGGGTAGTATTTTTTCTCCGTGCAGGCACCTCAGCTGTCTCTGTCTTTTTCCCTTTTATGTAATAACCAGTATGTAAGCATCGATTAAGAGAGTTTATGAATAAACATTCAATCAGTATCAGTCAACAGTGGAGTCAAGTCGTTTTGATGACATCCTCATCGCCTTCTTCAACACGACCTGCATGAGCAGGACAGGTAGTCTCAATCTGATGACAGTTCAGTAATACCATAGAGGTAACTCTAAGACCACTGGGTCCCGAAGAAAATCATTATTATTTTTGGCTCACTCAGTACCAGAACAACGGTCCCAAGCAGTCCCAAGCTATTTCACTCACCCCTGCATGTTCTGCATGAATCCACACACCCCTGATGTTATCTGTCAAACTTTCATAGCGAATCAAAACAAACATAGTGTAGTAATAGAATTTCAACTAGAATAGGGTACGTTAATCGTTTGCTTGGGACCAATAGGCTACTAAAGTGGTGAGCCAATTTAAAATCGTTAGTTTCGTATTGATTGTTGGTAATACTGTTTACGTAGACTTAGTTATTTTTTTCTTGGGTAGATTTTCTCGACAATTTTCAAAAGTTAAAATTTGGAAATTTTAAAATATATTTTTTTCGAAAAAACGGCTAAGTGCTTGTAAACAGTACCACTGAACTGTCAAAAAGGGTCAACCAATTAACACTGAGTTCATTTGTGACGTCACGCTGCAGTACCTAATTGATGAATTTACGCAAAGATAAAACTATAGAGGTAACTCTAAGACTAGAAGGTCCCGAAATAACGTGCTCAACTTTTTGGCTCAGCTCTGGTACTCTCTTCGGTCCCAAGCTAATCGATTCACCCCTCGAAACATAGGAAAATCCACTTACCCCTCATTTTATCTGTCAAACTTTCATAGCGAATCAAAACAAACAGTGTAGTACTAGAATTTTGACTAGAATGGGGTACGTTAATCGTTTGCTTGGGACCAATAGGCTAGTCAAGTAGTGAGCCAATTTAAAATCGTTAGTTTCGTATTGATTCTTGGTAAAACTGGCCATGTGACACCTAGTTTTCAGATTTGCAATTACAAAACTGATGATGTACTAAAAAATATTCCATACGTTTTGACAGGTAGCAAAACGTCATTATCATTTTTAAATCATTTCCATCTGCTGGTCGACCGTAACGTAAGTTCATCAATTAGGTAACTCATAGATGGCGTGTGGGTGAAAATGGTAATGAAGTTTGGATATCTGTCAAATTACATGACATTATTTTTAGTACATCATCATTTTTGTAATTGCGAATCTTAAAATTAGGTGTCACATGACCAGTTTTTGCTTTGCTTTGATTCGCCAATACAGAGCATTCATTTCATATCATACCATACAACCATAGAGGTAACTCTAAAGGCCCACGCACATTAGATCCGGATCGGACGCGTTGTGGCAAAGTGACAGCTAAATCTATTGTCTAACTGTCAAATTTACGTCAACGCAACGCAAACGGATCTAATGTGGGTGGCCCTTAAAACTAGAAGGTCCCGAAATAACGTGCTCAACTTTTTGGCTCAGCTCTGGTACTCTCTTCGGTCCCAAGCTAATCGATTCACCCCTCGAAACATAGGAAAAACCAATAACCCCTCATTTTATCTGTCAAATTTTCATAGCGAATCAAAACAAACATTGCGTAGTACTAGAATTTAGATTAGAATGGGGTACGTTAATCGTTTGCTTGGGACCAATAGGTTAGTCAAGTAGTGAGCCAATTTAAAATCGTTAGTTTCGTCTGGATTGTTGATACAATTGCTTCACTTGCTCAATTTCGATTTTTTTTTCTTGCCTCATATCTTACAGGAATGATAATGATGGCCATGTGTCTGATCATACCAGTGGAATTCATTGCTAACCATCAATTTTACTTCGCTCTGCTCAACAGAAAAGAAAAACTTGTTGTATTTAACGGCCGTATTCAAAATCCAAAATGATTTAGAAGAAAAATATTCAAATATACATAATATTCTTTGTATAATACACAGTTTACATTTAAGTTTACACTTATGTCAGAGGTATTGATAGGGCGCATTATAATCGTATAAACCCTCGTAAATACGTTAACTTTAATTAAACTTCAATGGGTCCTGGTATTTTTACCATAATGTATATGTTTACGATGCGCTATGTGAATACCCCTATTTTTTCCAGTGAAAACAAAGTATTTCAAGTGATATAAACAGTATTATTATTGTTGATGACACCTTCCAAAGTGATTCGCCTTAGGGGCTGTTAATTAACTACGTAGACAGTTTTTAGGGATTCATGCTCCCTCCTCCCAATGCGTATGTATGGGTTGTGGATAATTGGGTTCTGTGTAACAAAAAAGGCACTGTGGTCCCAGGCCTGACTAGACCTTTTCCCGTCCGTTGTGCATAAATCGGACATTTATTTCCAGTTTTAATCCCAACTTGGACATACGTGGACGTTATACAATTCCCGGAGCCAGAAATCAACCCTGCGTGTACTCCCTTGGAGCCACCAAAAGTCACCATCACCGGAAGCCACCATCACCATCCCCACCGAAACCGTAAGCCACCATCACCGATAGTCGGTACCACCGCCGTAAATCACCATCACCACCGAAACCATAAGCCACCATCATCGATAGTCGGTACCACCACCGTAATACCATAGAGGTAACTCTAAGACCACTGGGTCCCGAAGAAAATCATTATTATTTTTGGCTCACTCAGTACCAGAACAACGGTCCCAAGCAGTCCCAAGCTATTTCACTCACCCCTGCATGTTCTGCAAGAATCCACACACCCCTGATGTTATCTGTCAAACTTTCATAGCGAATCAAAACAAACATAGTGTAGTAATAGAATTTCATCTAGAATAGGGTACGTTAATCGTTTGCTTGGGACCAATAGGCTACTAAAGTGGTGAGCCAATTTAAAATCGTTAGTTTCGTATTGATTGTTGGTAATACCCCTTACAGACTATGGCTTATATCATGCAATATTGACTATCTTGCAATGAGCACTCATACATCTAGTTTTCACTGGAAATCCTATGTATGAGTGCTCATTGCAAGACAGCCTATATTACGTGATACAGGCTGTAATGTGAACGGGGTATTAGGGGAACAATTAAAATAAACTTTCAATTACCGAGGCATGATTTCTAAATTACACATCACGGCTTTTTTTATTTGTGAAGAAGTAGGTGTTTCCAGAATTTCGCACATTGCTGAGTTATTCGTGTCTCGACAATGAAAATTCACCCAATGCTGGAATAGAACTTTTTGACGTTTAATCGGCGCACACTACTGTACCATTTAAAGCGAACGAGTGCGAGCAAGAGGGAAACAGATTACTGGGAAAACAAACCGTCCATTCATCCATGTGTGCTAGATAGAGAAAAATGATTAAACGTCAAAAAGGTCTATTTTCCACCCCTCGCTTTCTGAAATCTTTCCGAGGTTAGATTTGGTGAAACTAATGTACCTAGTTGGATTTAACCCTGATGAACTTTTTAGCGTTCATGTTGTTCGTGTTTCTTCTTTATGCTAGAAGGTTTATGCAGTGTCAGAGAGAGTAAACATAAAACGACATTGGGAGCGTTCCCTTCCACGTTTGGACTAAGGGAGAGTAAAAAAAATTAAAGGGTTGTGTCCTAGACACGACCGCAGTATGATGTATTTTTGACTATTATACTTTATCTTAAAATTTTCAAGTATTTCAATGTTTCGGTTATGGTTGACTATTTTTCTTGACAAATATCCATGTGAAATTCCACATGATTTTCATTTGACCACACATAAACAGAATCCACTCAGAAGTACACATGAAATTTATACGCAAATGAATAGTATGTGTGGTCACGCATGGTTTTTATATGTACATATATTAAGTATGTGGCCGACACATAGATATTGATTTGTTGATCAAGTTGCAACAACTCATGTGTGGGATTTGTTGATGAGTGGGGGTGGGAGTTAGGAGAGGTTGTTGAGGAGGGGGGAGATATTGATGTGAAGGGGGGAGGGGGAGAGGTTGTTGTGAAATGGGGAGGGGGTTTACATCATTACTTTTCCTCATTGTGGTCACGCCGTGATCCACCTTTAGCCGCTGATTTGGTCCTGCTTACTGCAGGACCAAGTGCCACCCCTAATAAAAATTGTATGGTTAATTAGCTTAACGACGTGTTCTGGGTATCATCCAAACCATTTGTGGAATAGTTCAATGATTTGGGTTATCGTTCGTTTATGGTTATTTTTTATTAGGGACGCCGTCCGAAACGACAATGAGCAAACACATGACAGCAGCGCTGTTTTATATCTTTTCAGGTACAGACCCTGATAGGATTTCCCGCAGTTTTTTTATGAATGGGGCGGAGCAGAAAGTTTCTTTTGTGCAGAATATGTAAAATAGGATGTACTTTGGATGTTAATATAATTGCATATATAGAGGCACCAGATATGTTTCACAGTCAGGTCATCAGTCATGATTCTCTGCTTGTTCGTCAAGCAGTACAGTCCGATATTTGCTCGCTCTGTCGAGTTGTTCGATAGTTATTCCAAACGTTTATTCGCGTCGTCAGTAGTGTCGGTCGCATCGTGTGATGGGAAGACAGCGCTCCCGGAGCAGGCTCCGTGAGAAAGCGGAAAAGAACAGTGGTGAGTGTAGCACGAGTGTACCTATTTCAAATAGGTAAGCTACTCTTCCCACCGATGTTGGGAATACCACCTCCGCCACGGTGAAGCGATCCAAGAAGAGGAAGAAAAACCAAGGCCAGTCCGATGGTGCGAGTGGACGTGATGACGTCACAGCAACGAACGCCAGCGACATCGGTGATTTCGGCGACACCATCGACAACGAAAATTCTGCCGGCCCGAGTGCGGCAAAAGTGAAGCTACCTCCATTGGTAGTAAAAAATGCTCATCTTAATGAGCTCATCGCGGATCTAGCGACGCTGGGCGTTAAAGCCGAATACAAGTTGGGCAGAGTCGGCACCAAGGTGGTGCTCCGTACCAAAGCGGAGTATGACTTGGTCGTCGCCCACCTGAGGACTTCCAAGGTGGAATTCTTCACCCACGACATTCCCGGTGAGAAACCATTCAAGGTCGTCATCAGGGGCCTACCAAACTTCGACCCGAAGTTTATCGAAGCTGAAATCAGGGACCGGTACAAGCTGGCCCCAAGTGCCGTCTATCGGATGACAAGAAGAGACGAGAATGTGAAGGCGTATCCGGATTGCCTTTTCCTGGTACACTTCCAGAAGGGAACGGTGACGCTCAACGCGCTGAAAGCCATCCGCTCCATCAATTGCATCATCGTCCGCTGGGAGCCATACCGTGGCGGCCATCGCGATGTGACTCAGTGCCAACGGTGTCTGAACTTTGGACACGGCACCCGCAACTGTAACATTAAGCCACGCTGCGGCAATTGCGCTCAAGACCACGCCACTTCCGACTGCCCTGCGGATGAAGCCATGGCGTTAAAATGCGCCAACTGTGGTGGTGCTCACCAAGGTTCCGACAGACAGTGCTCCAAACGCGAGGACTTCAAACGCATCCGAAAACAGGCGGCAGCTAACAACCAACCAGGACGCAAGAAGGACAAAGTCTCGGCATTTCGGACGGAGGTATTCCCGCCTCTTCGTGCTCCTCCGCAAAGGCAAGTGAATTCGCGGGTGTATTCCGCTCAAGCAACTTCTGGTGATTCTGCTGGCCAAAGCTCTCCATCCCCCCCTGGATTCTGGAGACAACCACCAGCGCAAAACAACAACCCCGATCTGTTTTCAGCGGATGAACTGATGGAAATTTTCGTCAACATGACCGGTGCTCTACGTAAGTGCCGCAATAAGCCCGAACAGATCCAAGTGCTCGGTAAGTTCATCATCCAGTATGGTGTCTAAACCGCTAACCATCGCTACTTGGAACGCTTGCTCTGTAAGAGCAAAACAGATTGAGCTTGCCGACTTCCTCCGCAAGCATAGCATCGACGTGGTTCTTCTAACCGAGACCCACCTAAAGTCCGGTGACAGCTTCTGGTTGCCTCACCACAACATTATCCGGCTTGATCGCACCAGCTCCAGGGGGGGGTGGTGTAGCGGTCATCGTCAGAAAGGGAATCAAGTTTTGCACTCTGCCCCACATCCGCACTTCTATCATCGAGGCCATTAGTGTGGAGGTGGAATCACCAACTGGAAACGTCCGGTTCATCGCTGTTTACTGCCCACGCCAGTGTACCGCAAGCAACGGATTAGGAATCCAATTCAAGAAGGACCTGACCGCCATCACCCGTACTAACTCCCGATTCATCGTTGGGGGCGACCTGAACGCCCGCCATGAAGCAAGTAGCAAACAATCATACCGATCCGCAAACCCGGTAAGGATCCAACATTGTCTTCAAGCTACAGACCAATCAGCCTCCTTTCAGCGCTGAGCAAATTGTTCGAGAAACTCATTCTCAATCGTTTGCTCAAGTTTGTCGAGGAAAGCAACATTCTTCTTCCGGAACAGTTTGGATTCAGAAAGGGGCACTCCACCAATCATCAGCTAGTACGGGTGATGAATAACATCCGAAGTAACAAAGCTGTATCCAAGTCCACAGCCATGGCCTTGTTAGACGTTGAGAAGGCGTTTGACAATGTTTGGCATGACGGACTTGTGTACAAGCTTTTTAACTTCAACTTCCCATTACATCTGGTTAAAATCACCCGTAACTACCTCCAGCAAAGGTCGTTTAAGGTATCGTTGAATGGTTGTCTCTCAGACACGTTTTCGATCCCAGCAGGAGTCCCGCAAGGTAGTCTGCTGGGCCCCTTGCTTTACAGCATTT